GATGACGACAAAGCAGTATCTTTCTCTGAAATCCATTGTTTTGTATCATCAGCATCCCTGAAAACAAATCGATAATTGTCTTAAGTACATTATACTAGAARTACCTGAGTAAGCAAGTCTTATCCTTGGAAATTTCTTACGGTGAGGAATTTTACTCTATTTCTAAATTYAGTTGGAGACGGTGTTTGCGATATTTTGGTGGAAGTCAATCAGGGCACTTCCATCGCATTCCATGGGCGTATGCCCTTGAAAACTTTCTGTGCTTTAATTCCCGTCCAACAAAACTCTTTGGTCACGACGTTAAATTGTACGCTCCCGCCTGAGCTATTTAGAAAATATCAAAAACTTGTGTATTAATTATCACCATACCTGTGGAATTTTTGGATGTCTTGAGCACTATCCAAGTTCTCCTTGCGCTGTTCAGCCATGTGGTTGAGATCTTTCCATTTCTGAGTAAGTTTCTGAAAGGAATAAAATCAACTAATCGTCAAAGATCATTGATTTCGATAAGCCATTTGATCGCACGATCTTTCTCCCGTAAGCTTTGATTACATGTGAGGAGAGTCTAMCTGGCATGGGACTCAACCACCCAGCTATACATTTAACACTTTCCGTTTACATGTACATTTGGCAGGCTTTTTCTTTTTTAAGGTACTGGATTTTTCCTAGCAATAGTTTCTTCCTGTCTCGCAGATATAATAATAAAAATACTTTATTTTTCAAAACAACGCATTTAAAACTCTCAATGCTTTTTACAAATGGAAAAAATATATATATGTGATTGAGATTCCTAAGGTACTTCAAAAGTCATTGTCAATATTAAACTACAAAAACGTGAAAAAGAAGAGAAAAACGTAACAGAACGATTAAATGAAAATGTCTGAAGTTTCTTCTTAAAAATGTCAATAGATGTTGATATTTTTATGTCCAGCGGGATTTCGCTCTACAACTTTGGAGCGCATATAGAAAAGGCTCTGCTTCCAAAACTTGATGTTTTTGATATACAAAGATCTTAGCACGAGGGTTCACAACTCATTCCCCATGTAAACTGAACGCATTATTGATTCGCCTGCTGGGGAGATCCTAATTCTAAGATCATCTTCCTAACACGTAAATAACTATCAAAATGAGCAGCTGCGTCAAATGCGTCAAAG